ATAGAATAACTATATATGATAAACTCTCGTTCCCTTTACTTCTTCGCAGAAGCAAACATACAAATGCACAAAATTAGGCAAATCGGCTCGAGGATTTAACACACGTTTCCTCAGCAATACAAGCGGCTCGAGAAATTGTGCCTTTAGTGCTCTTGAATGAAATTAAAACAGAAATAAGAAATGAAAGTGTTATTAAACGTCTTTAATTCATGGTAACACATTTTTTTCCTCCATATATTTTATTTTACGAGGTGAGATTCCTGTCTCATATACACATCTATAGCAATTAATTTGACACTTTTTAAATAATTATTAAATATAATAAAATTAATTTATAATTAAAATAATTTTAAATAATTTTATAAAATAATATAATTTTAAATAATTTTATAAAATAATATAATTTTAAATAATTTTATCTAATTTTGTATAAGTTTAACTAATAAATATTAATCTCAAAATTTAATATGGTAAATAAATTTTAATTAAATTTTGTTAATATATAATTCTTGTTCAATAGTTTTACTTAATTAAAAAAATAATTTTCAGTTATATACTAAGTTAAATTTTTACTTAAAACTTTTATTTTAAAAATTAAAAAATTAAATTAAAACCACGACTTGTTAAATGGAGCGAGTAATACGTAATCCCGTGGAAGATTCTACAGAACAGAACAAATGGCTAAAAGTCAAGAATAATTGGAGACATATAAGAAGGGAAAATTTAAAAACAGGCTGTCCCGGGGCTGAATGGAAAGTTCATGTCGGCGTGTGGAATGGGGCGTGGAAAATCATGTTAGGTTCCATCTACGAGCTGGTATCGGGAAACTGATGGTCGGTGTGTCTAATGGGTCATGGAAATGGTAGAATAATGCCAGGCAAAGGAAAATGTAGTAGTAATATCAAGGCAACTAATTCTTTGTTGGTGGGTTGTTCAATAAGATTGAAGTCCTTGTCCCGGTCTACACGATATTTTTAAAAAAAAATTTTAATTTTACTCTACAAAAAATATAAAATTAGTAGATACCTGAAAGCAAGAGAAAGAAATGAAAAATTAATATATATATATATATATAAACTATGTTAGAGTCCATCTTGTAACAAAGTGAAATTGTTGTTACTATTAAAAAGAAAGATCTTTTATATTAGGTTTTCTTTTCTTTTATAAAAAATTTTGATATTACAATACAAGCTAGACTATAAAATAAGATTATAATATATATATATATACATAACGTCTTTTTCAAGTCTGCAAGGGGTATGGAAATAGTGCTTTTGTTTTAAAATAAAAAATGTATTTTACTTAAAATTTATT